CTATTGGTGATTAGTCTATACATCGGCCATCTGATTGGCCAGATTGATGAGCTTTACCACCCAGTGCCCCCTCTAAAGAGCTTTTCAGCCGCTTCATTTCCCACATGGGGCTGATTTCAGAGCCCCATTGATTTTGTTGTTTCATCATCTCTCCGGAAGTATCCAAATAGCGGTTTCTGAGGCAAAAGACAATTAATTTTACACATTCAGACGTCTCGTGCTGGCATACTTGCATCATTTGCTCGTCCGACGTGCTCAAGAAGGAGACAACTCTCGCATAATCCGGTCTCCTTTCTATTTTTCTACTCTTCTCTCAAGGCTGCAGCTATTTCGTACACATTGTTCATCCTTCATAGTGCATTCCTACCTACTTCTTCACGTCCTACCAAGCCTATATCAAATGAGCGCTTGTTGCCTGGACTACCGTCTGATCAGCTTTGCTTTGCTGTCCGTTTGCGTTAGTTTTGACTGATTTATAATTGAGTGTTTGCGTGAGGCTGAAAATGGTAAATCAACCGAATACTAACTACTAGCAAGTAGTGCGACGAGTTTAAGGGGAAACGTGCGTTTGCCCATCGATACACAATTTCCTGGCAAGGATGGCAGTCGAGACAGGCTTGCCAGCTCACCCTCGCCGTGCTACCAAATGACGGCAGGCTTGTGTATTGCCGGTGGGGTAGCGCATCCTTGGCTCGAATCCCACCGCTTCAGCCGAGGTGAGGCTCGGTTCGAGTCACGCAATTCTACGCCCGATCTTGTGCGTCTGTGCGTTGTGGCGCAACGTCACTCTTCCGGGCGGCATCAACCTCCCTTCAACCTACTCGCGGCGATTCTCGGCGATTCTCGGCGAAAAGTAACCTCTACAATCATATTCACTTCACACATCCTCGTCCGGACTTGACGCCGGTACCCGCTTCGCCCATGCGGGACTCGAATCTAGGACGTGTCGGTCGCCGAGTGGACGGATAGTTTGGAGCCGAATGTTGCCCGATTCGGCATGTATGGCCGGCTACGCACTGCAAATCGCTTCTGTTGACTCGTGCAGTGGATGTACCCACCATCGGTCGCAAGCCGCAGAGTGGGTGCTGCTGGGTGGTAGACTATTAAGTTGGAATTACTGATCGTGTATGCATTTATTCACTCTCATTACAATGCATTCAAGTGGAGCGTCTAGGCGTCTGTTCGCTCTGTCGATATGCGCCTACTTTTCAGGTCAGTGGGTGATGGAGATGCGTGTGTGCAAAGTATGGACACAGCCACAGATGCAGATGGCGACAGGCACACTCGCAAGCATGGAAACTTCAATTTCAGCCATTTTGGGTGAAAATCCTGGCATTTGTGGATCCTTCCTTCATTCCACCGTGACCGATTCAGTTAACGACAAATCGAGTTGTTTTTCTGCATAAACGGTACTTCCAAATTGAGATTCTGTCCGCTCTTGGACAGTTTTCCTAATGAAAGCTTGAACTGGTGAACCTTGAAGAATTGAAGATGGCTGACGAGAGAGTCTGCAACGGTGTTCAACTTGCTTACAAACCAAATAAACGGCTCTCATTTTGAGATAAATGAAAAGCCCATTGCTAATTAATGCATGAATACATGATAATTATAAATTTTCATCGGAAATAGTGACAGAGATTTGAGACCCGAAGAACTTTACTTTGCACTAACTCTTCCAAGCTTCTGTCGCTTTCTTGTCCATTCATTCACATCTTCCATTTCGATCGGTATTTCATTTACGTATCTTCATTACACCATCACCAACAATTAGTGACTTTCAAGTGCACAGCGATAGGAGCTTATTTAATCGTTTTTGTCTGATTCACATAACAGACTTGCATTTACCTTCACAATGAGTAATTAGTTGTGCTGGCAGCTGATTGAGCCAAATTGAATGTACTTGTGGTCTGACTTCTTTTTCGCATTTTAGTCATGTTGTCAGGGTGACTTAGTTGGACGCATCCTGCCTGCTATAGTAGTTATGATATTCGCAAGCGTCGGACCATGTACTTGGTTGATTCTCCCACGTTTCACCGGCATCGTTGGTGATTCTAGCCAGTCTCAGCGCAGAGCTACAACTCGCCAAAGGGACAAGTGAAGTCGATTGTTTGATCAACTTTCTGCCGAAACGGTTGTGCTATCACCCCCCTTTTTTTGCACTGGCTTCTCTATCTAATCCCTCTTGTCCCACTCTCGCCCTATCACAACTTTCTACTTGTTCGGCCGTCTCGGCAGAAAGCTGGCCAAGGAATTGACTTCATTTGTCTCAGCTTGGTGGTGAGAATGACAAGACTCACTGACTCACGTCTGATTATTACTATAGCAGAGGATTTCAGACAAGTTTTGTCCAACTAAGTCGCCCTGGCAACATGACCAAGTTGCGAAAACGAGTTCAGACCACTTTTATCCATCGAAAGGAGACTGTGACCAAAATAGAGGCCGCAACATCTTGGTCTTCATATCTACGTTCAAGTGTATTTGTTTATCTTCTGCCAAGAAAGTGCTCTGAAAACCAAGTGGAGGTGATAGAGACTATTGGGTAACTTCGTTTAAGCTGATTGCTGTCACCATTTGACAACGAATCCTTCTACAAGGCGATGAAGAGAAGACGTGGTTTTATTCCACTTGTTGTCGCCCACAATGTAATCCTGGAGCAGGATTAGGGCACCGATTCGGCTATAAGGCATTTTTACTGGCTTCCAGGATCGCTCACTGTTTATCAGCAAATGCAAGCTTGCCTCGGCATGATGCATTCACGAAAGCTGGAGGGAAACCTTTCTTGCCTCATAGGTCAAACCAATTCTCTTGTGACATGAAGTTGCATTTCGAAGAAAAAGTTGCTTATGAGGAATTCGTGATGTCGTCTCAACGAAGACCGAAGGAGGATTGTCGCATAAAGAGTCCTCGGCTCGATTTCGATAAAATTGGGTCGAGCTTTCGTCTGTATTGTGCCAGACATTATCAGATCAGGTATCCATGCTTCATGAAGTAGAGCAAAAATATAATAAAC